AAGAGCCAGCAAATAACCTTATAAGAATAAAAATACAAAAGTGTGTATCTTATATCATTGCATTATTTGCTTCTGTTTTCATAAGTTCTTGGAGGAGGGGAGATTGTTTTGTGGTGTTTTGCTGAGGGGGACAGGGGTTTTTTAGGGGGTGGGGTTTTTGTTGGGTGCTTTGTTTGTTGTTTCTTTTTTAATCTGTACATCACAGTTACAGCTACAAATCAGGTAGAGAATATTACACATGTAACTGACTGCCACCAACCTGAAAACAGCTAGCGTACAACTATCAAAACTGAGTATGGTTCCTGGTTCCTATTTTTTTCTCTTTTGCCAGATACAGCAATGGTGAATTCTGCTACAATTTAGAACATTTGCCAGATCCAATCAGTTAGCACATGGTCATAGGAAGCTTTGTCAAATGGCAACCATCTACATTCACTGCCACGCTGACAGACAGACCTGGTTATTGGGTGCTTAAGAACCTCTCCAAGTGTTTGCTGTATAAAAGTCACATTTCTTCTAAGAAAGAGGAAACGTTCTTGAAGTATCAGTCTTATCTGAACTGAAAATGTGCCATTTTGGGTCAGAGAATTACTTGTCTGTAAGCTCACTTGATCAACTGATGGACAATCCGTGTCATGAAGCTTTGCAGGAGCACTTCCATTTGATTAGTAAAATATTTGCATAACTTATTACAGGCATTCAGCAAAAATTCGGATATAAATACCACACCTATTCATGTAATTCACTAGTAGAAAGACTGATCAGAGTCCACTGACCACGTCTTTAGGCAATTATTAACACACAGCTGCTCTCCTCTGCAACATGTTGAAATCAAATGTTTTGTCCACAGACCAAATGAAGTAAATCTGTTGACTTCTACTGTATCATTCAAAAGAAACTGTTAAATGTAGGAAATCCTCAGGATTCCTCAAAGTTCCCAGCACAAAATGTAGTATCAAGCACATTTCATCAACCATCTTGAACTATAAAAACGGATTGCTATTATCACATCTTTGCTTCAACAGTTTTTCCCAGACCAGATACTTCACAACTAGATCAGGTCAGAGGAGAAATGTAAGTGGAGCACAGTACTACCTGGCAGTTCGATGTCCTCAGCATCCAAGTGCTCAGTAAATGAGATCTCAATAGGTAATGGTAGGCTGCTCACAATGCCTCAACACCACATCTGAAGCAAGTCTTCCTTAATGCAAATCCTTCCCAAAACTGGATTTTAAGGCCTATGGTAATAAACTCATCTTTACAGCCTATCAAAGTAGTTTTACACTTCCCGTGACTGGGCTGGACACTGATTACAACAGCACGATTCAAAACTCCTTTCTAGCAGTAGTCCTTCATCCTTCCTTAGGCTTAGAAAACTGATGCAATAAACACCTTCCTCCAGTTCAAATTCCAAGCAAAACAAAATTACAACTTTATTGAACAGATTCTTCACAAATGATCGGCAATTGTTCAAAATGCACAAGGTGGAATGAGTCAGTCAGCAGGTTTGGTTTTCAGGAGGGTTGCAGTGAGGAGTCCAAAGAGCCCTCTGGTGCCCAACAGCGCTTTTTGTGCTTGGAATGCTATGACTGCCTAGAGATTAGCGACAGTGACAACAGGGTCGAGTGCCTATGGGTGACAATCAAGGGAAAGGCCAACAAGTCCGATCTCATGGTGGGAGTTTGTTATAGACCACCCAACCAGGATGAAGAGACTGACCAAATGTTCCAGAGGCAGCTGGGAGGAGCCTCGCGATCGCTTCCCCTTGTACTTGTAGGGGACTTCAACTTCCCCGGATATCTGCTGGAAATACAACACAGCAGAGAGGGAACAGTCCTGGAGGCTCCTGGAGTGTGTGGAAGATCACTTCCTGACACAGCTGGTGAAGGAGCCCACAAGGGAAGGTGCCCTGCTGGACCTGCTGTTTGCAAACAGAGAAGGTCTTGTGGGGGACGTGATGGTTGGAGGCTGTTTTGGGCACAGTGACCATGAAATGAGAGAGTTTTCAGTCCTTGGAGAAGCAAGGAGCAGGGCTAGCAGAACTGCCACTTTGGACTGCTGGTGGGCATGATTGAGGCAGTGGAGCACCTCCCTTATGAGGAGCGGCTGAGGGAGCTGGGGCTCTTGAGCTTGGAGCAGAGGAGACTGAGGGGTGCCCTCATTCATGGGGATCACTTTGGAAAGGGCGAGTGTCAGGAGGAAGGAGCCAGGCTCTGCTCTGGGATGTCCAATGCCAGGACAAGGGGCAATGGTCCCAAGCTGGAGCACAGGAGGTTCAAGCTGAAGCTGAGGCCAAACTTTGTGAGTGTGAGGGTTATGGAGCATGGCCCAGGCTGCCCAGAGAGGTTGTGGAGTCTCCTTGTGTGGAGACACCCAAAGCCCTGGCCGTGTTCCTGTGTGACTGCTCTGGTGATCCTGCTCTGGCAGGGGTTGCACTGGGGGAGCTTTCCAGGTCCCTTCCAACTCCTCACATTCTGTGATTCTTTCAAACCACATATTTCACTTACAGTCAATTACCAGACAAATACCTCTCCCAGAAAAGTTCTAGTTCCTTCCCAAAAAAGTAGCAGCAGCTAAGGAAGACTTGATTTGGGACACTGAAGTCCTAAGGGGAGGGATGCCTGTAAGAGATGCTCACTTTTCTAATGACAGCATTATGAACAGAAAAAAGGAATGCAGACATCAGCCCTACAGACACCTTCTTGACAGCTTACTCCTATCATCATTTTTATGGCTGAAAGCTTTTGGTGAGCAGGATGGAAGTCTACTGAGAGAGGCGAGATTTTCAAGGTGTGAAAAAGCAGAGTAATTACTTTGTTATGGAAAAATGATTACAAGCTTAAATATTACAGAAAACATGTTTAAGCATTCCTAGATTTCAACCTAGTGACCAAGCCAGGGGAGGCCACTCCATCTCCTAACAAAGCTAAGGTGTTCACTATCAGCAGAACAACTCTGACAGACCTTTCATGAGGCAGCAGTGGTACCACAAGTCTCCATCACTGCTAAACTATCCTGTATAGAGCTGGGAGTACATCTACATCTCTATACCAAAGATGAAATCCAAAAGTGTCTGGAATTTGACAGAGAGCACTAAAACAAACTTGCAACACAGGTCCTCTTGGTGAGGATGGTAAATACGGGATTAACACTGGCACAGACAGAAGGTGTACTGTGCTATTCGAATTTCAGTGACAAGGAATGCACTTCGTATGTGATGAATTTTCTCCTGATGCAAGGGGAATGGTGGTATCTTTCTCATCTCAGCTCCCTTAACAGCAGGCACTGTGAGCGAGTGATTGACTTTGGTCAAGTTGTGTACGTGGTGGGTTAACAGAAAACTACAGGAATGTGGTTCCTCCAAAACAGGAGGCAACTGCATTCCCTCCTTTAAAGGCTGAAATTTACTGGAAAGGCTGAACTGTCATCAAGTTCAACCACATAACAGTTTGTAAGAGATGAATAATAAATCTCCTTCACCCTGTACAACAAAATATCCAACATCCACGTGTTTTCTGAGAAATCCTGATAAGCCATTGCTTTTCGAATACTGCTTCTAGAACAGGAGCTCGTGAGCTTTTTCAGCATTGCAGTAGAACATTTCCTTCTTTAGTGGAAGGAAAAGCACATAATAGTGTAAGACCTCAAAATGCAAAGAGATGGTACGTGTAAGAGGTGAATAAATAGGTGTGATGTTTATACTGCTTTTAAAACAAGATAGGAATGCCTTTGTCCAGACCTAGGTCATTCGTCTCTGCAAGGTCTCTGAAAATATCATTAGCAAAGCTGTTTTTAGCACATAGAAAGTTATGTCTTCGCAATGTTACAAGAAATGTTTGACCACAAAAAAGCCTTAATTTGAAGAAGATAAAGGAGATTGATATGAAAAATATTTTAATTTTACAGATATGCCTTAAGTACCGTGTATTTTCCCCTTTGTATCAATGTTTTCCTTCAAATTTTTAACCACGTAACTTTATGGCTCTAGTATTTTAATTGCTTAGATTTTTTTCAGAGTTGCTCAATATTTGGCCGAGGACCAAAATTAGGATTATTTGCACATCTCATTAAACAACGAGACAAAAAAAAAAAGGTCAAGTAATCAATTGTACAAAGCTTTCACACTTCCTTCTCTACCCAGGTAAATAGGTTGGCCCCGCTAAAATTCACAATACATGCACACCCTGGAAAGAAAGCTTCTAGCCCTCATCTCCTGAAAATGTGAAGAACTATTTACTACTTCAATAGTCACCTTTTTTTTCCCCCCATACTAACTAGTTAATTTTTTAGTTAGCATTAGTTAAAAGCATGCTGGTAAGTTTCTTGTCCCTTGATTAAACACACATGATTCATATTAAAATTTAAGTTGAATGTTTGAAATCTTATATGCTTTAGAAGCCAATTTTAGAAAACTTTCAGTGCCATGTTCAGCATCTTACTCTCACACAACCTGTATCATTGGAGCCTGTCTGTCAGACACATACTTCTGATCCATTCACATAATTACTGAAGTACCACGTAAATCCCGCAGAACTATATTAGGAATCACACAAGGGTGCAACTGACCTGGCTACAAAAGCCATAGACCAAAAAGCTGGGGGACTGTGAGGAAAGGAAGAGAAAACCAAGAGGTGGTGCTTAGGAGAGGCATATAAAAGCTCCCTGATGAAATACAGTTTAATGATAATCTGAAAGTCACAGAAAACTCCAGCCCCATAAAACGCAAGGCTGGTCCATGATTCGGCATGTGTGCGTGTGGATTGGTTTGAACTCATCGGAAGTGAAGCTGGTAATGCAAGGTCTATCCACTAGTCTGCAGCAGAAACTGAGCTGAAGTGCACAAAAGCAAGATCTTCACTGCAATGATATGCATGTGGAAGCCTCAACAGAAGCACAAAGAGCGAGCAAAGCGACCCTGAATTCCATTAGGTTTTTGCTTTTCTTTTTCCTTTTTTTGTTAAAAAAAAAAAACAAAAACAAAAAAAAACCAAAACCAAACCAAACCAGAACATTTCAGACATCCGCTTCCCCTTGAGATGGTAACAGGTGGGTTGAAAAGATTCCTCTGATCAGCTGCACACGGAGTTCTAGCAGCAAGTAGGGAAACTGGGACATTTTGGATGAGCTTTACTATTTAGCAGCATTCTGATGGTATCTGTGCCGCCAAACTTCATGTATCTTTTTGCACCACTTATGAGCATTCCCACTCGGGTCCATCAGGTAATATGTCCTGTTTGGCTATAAGTGAACAATATTTTAATGAGTACTCCAAACACAGGTTAACCAAAAAGCAGTAATTATTCTGCACCTACCAATAAAATAATTGTTCAGAATCAGATCGTAAACTTTCCAAAAGTTAAATTCATTTACAGCTATATAACATTAATTATTACTGAATAACCATACATACGGTATCTGAACATTGTCAAGCAGTCAACTGCAACATATTCTTGGTGTGCTCCTTGTGATCCACTATATGCAAGAAGGGCTACATTTTAAAAGTCCTTCTCAAGAACTTCAAATCCCAAAATCCACTATCAACACTTGCATTTAACGAATTATATCTTCTCCAGAAAAATCCATTGACAACTTACAATAATTGTTCCAGGACCTCAGTACAACTGAGGTTGTACTGAGAAATTAAAGAAATTTCTTTAATTAAGAAATTAAAGAAAGTCACTTACTGTGTGAACAAAAAACGTCTTGAAATTCTTGGCTTCTGGCCGCAACTCTAAAGACCAGGGAATTTCTCCTTTCAGGACCTTGTTGACAGGATCCACGTAATACAGGTGGGGCCCTTCTGTCAGCAGCAATTGGCGCCGACGTGCAAACAATCCCTAATGAGAGAAGGAGAAGCAGCAGCGCAAAAAAAAACCATAAGGAAAAAGAGCAAATGTGTAGATCTCAGAATTGAACAACAGAGGCAGAATTTAAACAGCTCAGTGACAGGATAGCATGCTTGAGCTCAGGGAACTTTTTTGTGTGTTCCTTTTGCTTTACCTATTTGGCCTCATTCCTTTTTTAGGGGGTTGCAGTGCATTCCTACTACATAGCAAACCACAATTACTGTTTTAAGAAAGCATCTTCAAGTCCTAACAAAATAACACAACTTGATGTATGGAGTGAAGCAAAATCCGTGTGTCGAAGATTCCAGCACAGAAATCAATACCATGGTTTTGTGGAGAAAATGCAGAACAAGCAGGCAGCAACTCAGGTGAAAGAGAGCCCACACTCCTGTAAAGACGACACCAATTGTCGTAGCTCATCTGTACCATCTTCCAGTTAATACTCAAAGCTGTTCTAATGTAACCTCTGCCTCTCTCAGGATACCAGCACTAGCTGGATCCAGGAAAACGCCACAGTTAAGGAACAATACGGTATGTTATGCTTTTTTGTTATTTTCTGATATTTGTGGCTCGATCCACATGCAGTCATGTATCAAGATCAAGTGTTTAGTGGGCTATATCAGACTGGGAGAAGGAGGGGGAACAAACAAACTCATTTACTACAGTCTCAAAATGAAAGCATCAGTGGCACATGTACTTTTAGCCTTTTCCAAAAGTCAACAGCACACCACCAAATTAAGAAAAAAATCTATTCACAAGAAAACACGACATTTTAAAAAATCAACAAAGCAATTTGACACATAAAACTAAGTTAAAACAAGGAAACTCTAAAACAAGTTCCTTATCTATGCTGAAACTGTTCAAAAATGTGACAGCTGCATCTTGTTACAGGGAATTAAGAAAAGCCCTTACCTTTCTTTTGTCCACTGGACCCATTTTTAGGATTAAGTTGTTTTCTACAAACTGATGCCTTAAAATGAAAAAGAAAAATAACTATTACTCCAGAAGTATTTCTTCCACAGAAACGGCTTTTACTACTGTTATTATCAAGCAATTTTCCATGTTGCTCCCTAGGGTCTCCTTTTCCATCTAAGAGTCCCGAACAACTTTACTAGGTGACTTTTGGACTCTTCCTCATTCCACACCAAAGAGTTTTGTCTAAAATCTGACAGGGAGGGGGGAAAGAAAAATCACAAATGAGAAGCTCCTCTCAAGCATGAAGAGAAATGCTAATAAGTACATGGTGCAGAGGTATTTTGGTTAGATATCAACAGAATAGTAACATTCAAAATAACCCCAAACCCAACAACATACGGCAACTGTAAGAAAGAAGGAACCTTCTCTAGTTCTAGGACTCCATGGAGGGTATAGCATCATTTCTGCCTATCTTACAAATGCCCTCCACAACATCTTCCAGACCTTGTAAACTTTGGAAACATAGTATTATGTTTTTACTGCTATTGCTTTAAAAATTGAAGTAAAGAAAAATCAAGTTGCTAATATTTTGCTTAAAGATCAAGATTGACAAATATTAATTTGAAACAAAATAACTCTCTGGACTCCCTAGATGAGCTATCTTCAAAGATCTTACCAAGGATTTCCACCAGCTTGCTTTGCCAGAAGTAATCTCTTTTCATCTTCAGAAAACTGTAAGTCCAGCTCAAAGGAATTGTTGTCAAGATCATGAATGTACTGTTCAATGTTTCCTCCTGATGTCTGTGGGGCACTTGTCTCTGCGGCTGACAGTGAATGGGAAGAGGCAGAGCCAGAAACTTGCATGCAACCAAACTGACTCAGGAGATTGTCATACTGAAGAAGGAAACACAATGAAGTAAAGAAACATCTGATTAAAAAAAAAAGCTTATTTTGCTCTAAACTGTGCCTTTCAATTTAAGCATGCTTTTGTTTATCATGCTGTCGGGCAAAAAGACACCCTGCTGTCTATAGATTAACAGACACTTGTCCAAAAACGTATGTTCGGTCAAAAGTAAGGCAACCAGTTTTTTTTCCAAACACTCACTTTATCAGAAAAAAAATGCTGACTAGTTCAAATTTTAATCAGCAATTTTATATTATATTCTTAATAATTAGGTCTTCATTATAATATAACCGATCAGTAGTTATAATACTAGTTAATACTAGTTATAATACTAGTTAATAATACTACTAGTTAATAGTAGTTTTAATTGAAAATATTTAATATGCAATAATTATGCTTTAATGAAAGTCTCAGGCAGCATCGGAGCAATAGCAATACACAAACATACATTTCCATAACAGTCTTCATCATCCTCTGACATGGCGGGTAAATACGCTGTAAGTTTTGGAGGTGTCTGAAGATGTAGGTTCTCCCACACAATGGATTCGAAGAAGGGATGAGCCTTAAGAGGTCCATATCCTCCCATTTCTTCACAACCTAATCTGTTGGTAGCATCTAGAACCTGAGCAAATTACAATTAAGTTAACATGCATAAAACAACAACAAGGAAGGGGCGAGCACCATTCACACTCACACAGCAGCACACGAAAACTTCACACCAGTTGGTCTCACTGCCCCAAGCACAGATCTAGAATATAAGGAGATTGTCTACAATACAAGATGTTCTTTGTCAGTATGTCTTAACAACATTTTGTATTCACCAGCTTAGAGATCCAGAGGAAGGAGCACTTCTTTGGGTCCACACAAGGTTTTGGCTTTGTTTCTTCATAAAGACAGAAACAAAACCAAGCAAATGTACAAAGAAGGCCTGATGGAGCACAGCTCATGGACAGCCCAGCATCACGTCCTAGCGATGCAGGCAGCTGTGGAAGCTCCAGCTGGCGCCAAACGTTAACCTCTCAAGCACCCTAAACCCACGCAGCTCTCGGGATGCTGACGT